CTTCATAAATAGCAGCCATTATGGTACCCGCAGGTTTAGAAAGTATGATGACAAATTCTTGGATGAAAAGTTGTTAGGTATAGCAGAGATGTTCTATCTATGTTGAGATAACGTATTTACTAGTGATGGGCCGAACATAGGTTTCACCGAATACTTCGGTTCGGCCGAATATTCGGTAATAAGTTTGCCGAACCGAATATTCGGCCGAATAATTCGGCAGGAATCGTGGTCCATATAAAATAATTAGGAGCATCACTTGTTTACAAATTATGCGCTGATTCGCACCAAACCACTCCGCTCTTTACCTCTCTAACATTTTACATTAGAAACTTTGTCAACAAATTAAAATAAAACTGCATCATTGCTTGTTTTGAGGTCTTGACATACCAATTTGCAATGCAATATTATATGAAAAGGATGCATTTTTATTTGGCCAAATATTCGGCAAAATTCACCGAACATTCGGCCGGAACCGAATATTCGGTAAACGTGCCGAACATGCCGAATACCGAACATAAACCGAATATTCGGCCCATCTCTAGTATTTACATACATATAACACGCTTATATTCTTTGCGGGGTAGGCAGAGCGTAAACGCTGTAAAAAACGACCATTTACACCACCTCTGACAAAAGACATGACATTCAGAAGACTGTGTATCGCCATAGTGTAAGTGTGAGGTTAAAATTGCAATACTCATCAATCATTCCTTAAATCCCTTAGTCGCTTCTTACGACACCCACATGAAAGATATGGGGTGATGCTATTCGCAGCCGGCCGGCAAGGCCTTATGCGCACTCTATAGCTTGCTTATAACGGGAGTAACAGAAAGGGTACAACAAGCCGAAAGGAGGTCAAGGTGCTCATGAAACTGAACAACTTTTCCCATGGAACATAAGTCGAAATTAAAAAAAAAAAATTTTGGGCCTCTCATAGTAAGTCAATCAGCTGATCGGCGATTTTGTATGGGAGGTCCAAATTTTTTTTTACCTTTCGACCCATGTTCCAAGTTGTTTAGTTTCATGAGTACCTTAACCTCCTTTCGGCTTGTTATACCCTTTCTGTTACTCCCGGTATATTATGGCCTAATTTCACCAGCTAGGTAGGTATGTATGTACTACGGATCCTGACCTATCCCATACAGATTGTCCTCTCGTCCTCCCTACAGTTCAGTACGTGCGCGCACGCAGTTGGGAGCGATTACAGTGCGTTGCCTTTGTGCGTGATTGGCCCTACAGTGGACCAACTAATTCTTTCTGCATTAATACCTTAAGTTGCTACTACCACATATTAGGGAGACGGCGGCGCGCCTTTACAGATGGCTCACTAAGTACTAGCGACGATTTTGCCACTTACTAACTTTTACTGGAATCTCAGAGGAATTCATGGTAACTAAGAAGATGGTTGCCTCGAACGTCATATTTCTTATTTGCTCAGAAAAATATTACGTTTTTGTACTTATCAGATTTAGCTGTATGGATATTCTTAAACTTTGATATTTCAGACGGTAACAACCCTGGCTGCGCAACAAGTGATAATCGCAAAAATCCTAAATAGGGTTGAGTGATCCTTCTCAAGTCGCTTTAGTAAGCAAAGCCTCTTTTAGTGCTACTACACTGCGTAGGGCCCGATTCGGTATACCTATACTGTATTCGGTATACGTTATGTACATTGCATTGACTTATGTTTATTGAAAAGACATCAATATGCAATGAGTGGTGTAGTAATTCACTTTTCGGAGCTTTCCCGACCGTACAGTCAAAGTTTAGCTTGGGTTACTTTGGAATTCAACCATTCTGCACAGTTTAAGAGTTACAAAAACTGCGAGTGTCTAACCGGAGCTGAGCTTGATTCAAGTCAAGGGACCAAAACTGTCCTGGTTTTCCGTATTATAAGAAAGGACAACCAATTTAAATTGAACCCAGCTCCTTTCAACACTGTTGCATATTTCGGAAGTAGCGACCGGACGTCGAGTACCAAACACACCAGTGCGGACATTGATGCATTTGGCTGTATAAGCTTTAAAGCATAGTGTCAATGGAAGAATGAAAGTGCAACGTGCCGAAGAGCTGATCGGAAGGCGGACATCCTTGCTGAGGAGCCGCCATTTTGAAAGATGTGTTAAGCTATGCTAATAGCATGCTGAGAGTAATTGCCGGTTTCCTGTGCAGGTATACTCTTATCATAATATCTAGTGTAAAATGAGAGGTTCTTGATGTAGCGCGTTCTAGGCACGTGACAAGGAAGCTATTCGTATGAGGATTTCCTTTGAAAATTTGTTTCAAAATGGTACGAAATTAATATAGTATTCTCACACCCCAGCAGTCACATGCTGCTAACCAGCTTTCCCATGGTAAATAGAGGCGTACGTTACTGAAAGACTTTTGAAGGAGTTTTTGAAATCGGTTCTGTAGGTAGTTCGTTTCGGGGTTTATCGATTACATTACATGCACAAAAACTGCATAGCCCGGCAATAATGGCCAAATGACACTACACAATATGATATGAATTCATGTTCGAAACTTTTACGCGCACAAAAAGGTTGGTGCGTCTGAAAATGGGCGCGCGTCAAGATGGCGCGAGTGTTTCCCACGCATGCGCGATGGGAACGTCTTGCGCGCACATGTGCCGTTTGCGCGGGAAAACTTGCCGCGCTTACATCCAGTTTTTTTTTTATTATTCGGCCTCGAGTACAAACAAACTGGCTGACAACAAATAAACAAAGGAGTGTTTATTTTTTTCGTTTTTGAGGTTGTGGTTACAAAGAATATGAGGCCTACAGCCCACAACATGAGGTTAAGAGATGAATAAAGAACGATGTTATGATAAAAGAAATGATGAATAATGGATAAAAGATAAGAATAAGAATGTCCATATGTAGGGAAATCTAGATCGATTGCGTACACCTAACTATCACGCGCACCTGAGTGAGCTTTGAAAAGAAAAGTATTTCAACCCTCAAATCCCTTAATCGCTTTTTACGACACCCACGGGAAAGATAATGGGGTTATGCTGTTCTAAGCCGGCACTACACGGGACCTCGTAGATATATACAATTAGAACATGTACACTATAGAATTACATCCCGTAACTACCTACTACACTAATTTAACAAATTAAATCCAAGTTATATCTCTACCCTACCCATATCTTTTATGATTACAAGGAGACACTCGCCGGGCATCGAACCGGCACCGTTAGCACCCGCAACCAGTTCTACTGCCTGCGCGGTCTAGTAGTGTGAGTATTGGTATCCAGATCAATGGCTCCCGGGTTCAACTTGCGGTGGGCGAAATAAAGGTGAAGGGTGATGATGATGTGACCCGCCGGGCATCGAACCGGGTCCGTTAGTACCCGCAACCAGTTCTACTGCCTGCGCGGTCTTGTAGTATAAGCGTCGGTATCTGGACCCGAGTGGTGCTCAAGCTGCCTGGTTCGATTCGCGGCGGGCGAAATTTTTGGACCTCGTACATCCAGAAAAGATAAACATGCGTTGAACGCGTGTAAGAGTTACCTGCCTATTTATATCATTTGATGACTGACAAAGTCGGTATCTACTCTATTCTGATGACTTCTTCAAGCCTCACAAATTTTCAAAGCGTGGGAAACAAAGGCAGGTTGCTTAAACCTATTATTTTTTTTTCCAAAATGCTCTATTCCACGATTTTGAGTGTGCAGGAGGATTCTGAGGGCGGATATAAAAAAAGTCTTCACCAGAAAAGGCGTTTTTTCTTCTAGACTATAAACTATAATCCCGACAACGCCGTGCCTACACAAAAAGCGACAACACGTGGTCACCCGCATATGTTACTCGACGTCATCAAATGCACATCTGGGAGGGCTCTACGTAACGCTACAAAATGAGAAACTCTTTTAAATCGAACTAGTTTCCTTCCCAGACTACACTTCTTAATTTGGTTACGCTGCCTTCGAGGAGTTTGCCGCTCAAGAACTGGCAACATGGCCGATTTAAGAAGATAATTCTTCAGTAAGCCGGTGGTGCTTGTTGTGTGGATTTTAATTCAGTTGGATTGTACACAGGGTCAGTCTCAATTGACCCGCAGCAGCTGCTTGGTCGGACGAACCGCTCTCAAGTGATGTGTAATAAAAGTTTGTATTTGTCATTGGAAACATTGTTTTGTAATTATTTGACCACGTACTGATATCGAGCTTTCTCATGAAATCGTCATAGCAATAATAAACCCAAACAGATACCTATTGAAAACGGGGTCTCTTTTTGCGAGATATTTACTTTTGTAGCCTTTATTTCGGAGGGCCCGTTAGCCGAGGTTGCTGTTTTAAGGCTTATTAGATAAAATAGCCTATTTTATACGGGATGTAAGGGACAACTCTCCGAATACTGATAGGGTGCATTCAGATCATGAAACTGAATAACTTACCATGCTGACAGCTGATCGTGATTTTGTATCGGAAGTCAAAAAATATGATACATCTCATTAAATATTTTCATGAAATTGTTCAGTTTCATGGTCTAAATGCAATCAGTATAATGACGACTAAAACGTTAGTAAAGTAAATGAAAACCAGTAGAGACTGGTTCAATTCACGTGGCAGTACTTCTGAATCAGCACCCGTCAAGATGCCGACCAATGAGTGGTATTTGCCATACGTTTGAATCACCACTATCGGCCAATTGGTGCGCCTTGTGATCTGATCATCAATGCCTGCGACATCACTCCGGATGTACTGTGTGAAACTCATCATCATCATCTGCTTTCCCTTATCCCAAATCAGTTGGGGTCAGCGTAACAAGTTTTGATAAAGCAAAAACAATGTAGCAAAAGGATTTGGAAATGTTTTATGACCGGTCGCCTGCCTGACGTCAACCTTCTTTGGATATGCTATTGTAGGGGGTATCACCACCACTATGCGGTTGACCATAGTCGACAAGTATTCAGCCGTGGACTCTACGTCGCCTTTTATGAAACAAAGTACTGTGTGAAACTATAAATGAAAATAAGAAATTGAAAAACTGTCATGCATCGATCGGGGCTCGAACTTGGGCCGCATGGGGCAACGCCCCACCGCTCTGCCACTGAGCTATCGATGTACCGATCGATGCCTGCCAAACAATCTCATATCATTTATGTACTTGAGTACATTAAAACCCCAATAAAGTGTGTTAAACTAGCCATTTCAATGTTCCGAAGAGCATGCTAAGTTGAGGTTGCTAATAATATCTAGATTCTGGTTGTTCGAAAACACGATTGAAGAAAGTATGCTCGATAGATTTATTTTCCAAAATTATATTAAGTAAAGTTATTTACGAATAGGTACGATGATACATCTTGTACATTACTAGATTCTATTTTAACAGTTTTTTGTTTACATGCCTATTTGCAGTGCTGAGAAGTTGCCAAAATAGTGCAAAATCGTCTAAACATGCCGATTCCGCTCAGTTCTCGCCGTAACACAAATTCGAGGCAGGCCCTTAACAATATAAATGTCTTGGTATTCCATTGTTTACGTCCATGTCCGATAACCTTCCACATTGACGAGGTTTGTTGTAAAAGATTCCCATATCTGAGATCAGCTGCGCGCGCGCCGGCGGCCTCGTTGCGTCTAGTAGTAGGGAACCTACGTAATAAATCGGTAGGTCTACCGATTTCTACCGTGAAGAAAAAAGCTACGGCCGTGTCGTGGCGGCTTAGACTACGGTCATCCCTAGTTCACTCAGGGTGTTTCGTAAAAGGCGACGTAGATAGAGTCTTCGACCTCGACTGAATATCTCTCGTCTAGTCAACAGCATGGTGGCGGTGATACCACCTACAATAGCATTCCCTAAGTGGGTTGACGTCAGGCTGGCAGCCGGTCATAAAACATAGCTAAATCCTTTTACCACATGGTTTTGTGTTCTCAAGTAACAAATCACATCTTTCTGAAGTAACAAATCATGTTTGTTACTTCAGAAAGATGTCAACAATAATGTTGCCATTTCGTGTGTTCTATAAATCAGGCAGTACTGATTTTTCGCCTCTACCGTATACCGATATTTGAATGTTTGTTTCGGTGTAGCACTCGCGGTCGCGTCGTCGCAGTTGTCACGCTCGGCTGCGCGGGCGCAGGCGACGCCATCACGCCGCGAGATAGCCCCGCAGGGTTGCCAGGTCGGCGCCGGATACGCGCACGCAAACTATGATTCGGCTGATAACATTTACAAACAAAATAGAGAGTTTATATACCGGGAGTAACAGAAAGGAGCAACAAGCCGAAAGGAGGTTCAATTTTTTTTCTTATTTTGACCCATGTTCCATAGGGAAGGTTGTTAAGTTTCATGAGTACCTTGACCTCCTTTCGGCTTGTTATACCCTTTCTGTTACTCCCGGTAGAAGTTTCACTCGACTTTATTAAGGATTTGGCGACTGTCAATCGTTACATAGCCAGGGTTGCTATTGTCAAAAACCTCAAAGTTTTTGAGGTAATTTTCTAGTTAAAAGCAAGTAAGCGTCAAAACCGTCGCTTGTACTGAGTAAGCCATCTGTAAAGGCGCTCCGCCCGCCGTTTTCATTTTGTGCGCAAACTATGGTTTGGCTGATAACAGTAAGAGCCATAATTGTGACCGTATATCTTAGCGTCATTTGGCATCGGAAAAGATTAATCGACTTATTTGTTATAGCTTACTTACATAGTAGAGCACATTGATTGAAAATTAACGTTTGGTAGTTAAATTACATTGAAGTAAAGGTCCAAAGGAGTTCTTTTGCAACTTCATGTTAAAAACAGCTCGTATGAAAATATTCTAGTCTGGGCGCCAACCTTTATCAAAGTTAGTCATCTTTGTTTCGTGCTTGGTTTGACAAACGCACTCCGGCAAGAATTTCTATTAGAAATAACTTTTATTGAAGCTTAACCTAAGCCTGTTTGAAATAGTTTGGATGGCTGGCAACCCTATGGTTTCGTCTATTATTGTTTTTATTTAAACTTTTTTTGTATATCGACTCTACATTAATGCGTATAGAATTACATAGTACGTTGTATGTTCCTATACTTAGGTATTTATTTGTTAAATTTCAGTGTTGTAAACATTCGCTTATTTTGTATGACTACGCACTATTTTTTGTGTTTAAGTTTAATGATGGATGATAGACAAAAATACAAATAATATGTTTAAAATCATCTTTATGAAACGACTTCTTTTCATCATCTGCCTGCCTTTATCCTAATTTATTTGTCGCCCTTTTACCCGACTACCCCTGCCTGAAACGTCTTAATTTAAGTGACTAAAATCTTGACATATTTCTAGGGTCTTACTAGACAACTTAGGACTTTAGTTCGTGTTTGCCTGGTTACGCTCAGCAGTGAAATTCTATGAGCTGGTGTTGCCAGGACAAAGCAAGTGCCAAAAATGATCAGTTACTAGTGGCCATGCTATGAATTTACAGGCTACAATTCTACAGGCGAAAATCGATGAACATTTGGGGTAAAACCGTTGTGTTGAATCCCTTGAGCACAACATTTGGGGTAGTACCGATGGGTAGAACTTTTCTGCACAACATTTGGGGTAGAACTGATGGCAGTACAAACGGCATCTCATGATAGCTCTCATGATCGATCTTAGAGTTCAGAGCAATTATGAGCCTAAGAAACTGAAATTAGGGCGAAAATGTGTTTCTACCAAGACGTCAGATGGTCTACAGCAAAAACTTGTCATTGATTGCATTTCTAAGAGATACCGAGTAGGTATAGGTAGGTATATTGGTCATGGCACCACCGCCGCCGTGGCCTCGCATGTACGTACACTTCAAAATCATTAACCTCATTTAGAGACAGCACGAACAAGAATAATTTTTAAAAAACAAAACCCGACTACAGTAACTACAAATTTATATTTTATGTTTAAATCCGCCAATTTGAATTTATGAAATTTTAATAATGGCCAGTGTCACTTACGCTGCTAAAACGAATCGAACGATTTCGCATAATATTATGACATACCTATTATGTCAACATTCGTCAAACTATTTAGGGGTTTAGGCTGTGGCCCGTGAAAAACAACTTACTTGGCCACATGCGTACAGAGATACTCTCGAAAAACACAACCCTCCTTCAGAGGCAGTCGGTTAAAAGACCGCCGCGCGTTTTTAATTCGCTTAACCACTTTGGAAAAGACATTAATCCAGTTGGATATCTTTAGCAGGCCATTGTGTAAATCAGACGCGATCGCATATTAGGTGCTAACACGCTGAGTTGTGTGTTTATATGGTAGTTTTATTGCTCATTCTGAGATAAAAACATATAGGGTCTTAGATCTAAGTCATAAATTAGGAAAATGGCGCGCGGGGCGCCTTTACAGATGGGTCACTTAGTACTAGCGACGATTTTGACGCTTACTGGATTTAACTGGAATCTCAAGGTAACTAAGATGGTTGCCACGAAGTCCATATTTCTAGGATTAAGTTGGCTTCGAATCATATGACGTTCTTGTATCAGATTTTGCTGTTTTGATATTCTTCTACTTTGAGATTATTGATAGCTACCCTGGCTGTGTAACATTTCACAGTCGCGAAAATCCTAAATAGGGTCGCCATTTTAAATGACGTTTTAGTGAATCTTAGCAAGCTTCGTTTCTTAGTTGATTTTGTAACCTTTTAGTATGTAGCGAGTGTAGCTGGTAACGTTGGAAGGGGAAGACTCAGACGAACGTACCTGGAATAAATAGAAGACGTTTTAATGATAGGTTATGTCAAGGTCGGCACTTACCCTAAACTAAACCGATGAGCATCTATGAAAAGGTTGATGAATATTGAGGAAGCTAAAGAAGTGTTAGGAGACATTGATTTAACAGGCAAACGACTGATAAAGTCCCTTTTCGTATTGTTGTATAAACATATACACACACATACAATCACGCTTCTTTCCCGGAGGGGTAGGCAGAGACTACACCCTTCCACTTGCTACGATCCTAAGTTAGGACTTTATCAGTCGTTTGCCTGTTAAATCAATGTCTAGGTATTTTCCTGTGAGGGATAAAATAAAGGAAATAAGCTTTACTTTAGGACGTAAAATGACAGCTACAGCGGCTGAACATTTTCACTATCTGTAGACCGACAACTACATGAACCATAGCATCAATACTCCTACATATTCTGTCGTATTAATTTTCACTTTTTGAAACAGAGTGATAAAAAGTTTCATTAGCAGTTCGATGAGAAACTTCGTGTCGTGGCCTCTGCTGTCTCCAGGGCCCCGAGTCCGCTAAATGAAAATCGTTTCAGTCGAGTCTCGATGGCATCTCAGTTGGATGGTTTCGGCCATTTCGTAGTCTGCTAACAGTTTTTAGTATGGAAAAAATACAGTGGCAGTAGAATGACAGTTGAGTCTCGCTGGCATTACAATGGCTAAAAATTAGCAGACTATGGGCCCTGATTGTGTACTATTGCGTAATAGGGATTATGGGTCTGTCTCTCTCTGTCTTTGTGTTGGATAACGAGTCGTCCAACGACCCGATGAACCCTGGGGTCAGAGTTTTACAACCGCCTACTACAAGAAGCATGTCTCTGATATGGTTTGTAATAACTGCCGTCTAAGTAATCATAGATAGCCGGGAGCGGTGGCTTTACGTGCTCTCCTAATCATATAACCATCTTTCTTGGCGACAATCAGGTGGTTCGGCCTGTAATGTCCTAACCAGATAAAGAACAAACTCACGAAGTGATAAATATAAATATAAATACCACTTTTGTGAGTGATACGAGAATCGAACCCGGAACCTTCTGCGTCGCAGGCCGTCGCACTACCACTGCGTCACATCGGGTCCGTTATTTGATTCATGTGTTCCCTGGTTCCCATCGAGTGTGACTTTCGCCGTTACCGATTGACGGTTGAGGATCTAGGGCGCAAGCTCCACAGAGTAGACGTGAGACGTAAGACGTAAAATGGCATCTGTCAAACAAGTGACATGCGACACCGTTTCCGTATAAAATGTATGAAACAGAAGAAGCAAAGCTAATAGTGCGTTTCATCTTATAGTTCCTATGGCGTCATGTTGGTAGCATTGGAATATCATTGCCGCCATAAAATTTACATACACATTTCCAGTGCTACCAACAT